CCCTGGTGGACACTAGAGAGAATGCAGCTTTACCACATGAAGCTTTGGCTTCACTCGGCGGGTCTTTTACGTCACAAACTGGTAATCACGGTGATTCCTATAGGACATGAACGTGGCATGATTATCACAACTAATTTATGTTTGCTTGATCTGGATAAAACAAAAACAGAGATTTAAAACATTTACACTCAGAAAGAGTTGATTTGTGAGACTAAAGCACAGCTCATCTCTTCCTGCTTCAGGGTTTCTAAAAGGCCTGGCTTAGTTTGAGGCCCGAACATGATTGAAAAGAATAAAGCTTTATAGAGTCAAACACCTTATAAAGACATACGGTACTTGTTTCTCTTTAGCATTTCTGAGCCACACTTCTTTTCCTCCAACAGGAATCAGAGCGATCGCAGATCAACACAAAGCGTTTGTATTGATCAGGCATTTTATGCGTTTAGTTTTTAAACGCGTCTATTACAGCACGAGGAATGATTTGTCTCACTGTGGAGGATTTAAAAACACAGCTCATAGTAGAATTATTGCTTCCTCATATAATCCCCGTTTCAAAATAAGAGTGAACTATGCCTGAAGAAGCATCAACCCTCACGTGGAAGCAGACCCGACTCAGGAGGTTGAGAGTTTGTATGTTTTTTAATGCCCCGACATTAAAACTGCGTTATGAATTACGCTTTTCAGAGGAAACTGAATTTTGTCGTGGATTACGTTTGCTTTGGACGATTCACAAATACGTTTAAAAAGGGAGGAGTGTGGTAGGAGCATCAGTTTAACCAACACACTCCCTGCATGCTAAGCTAAGCTAACCACATCACAGACATTAATATCCATCTCAATGCCAACTTTCAAAGGACGTTAAAACACTCCTTTAAAATGAACCTCATAAATCTGATATTTCCAGGACCTGTGGCTTCACACACTTTGCATTTTTTATTCTTGTTAAATATTCCACCAGTATTGTTTTTGAAACAGTGTAATCTGTTTTATATTCGTCCTCACAGTAACAACGTGTCAGAAGCCAAATATATTATAGATCTAAAAAACCTCTCCAAAGGCAGTAAACTCCCCGTCTGCTGCCCCCTGCAGGAGGAATCAAACACTGAACACGTCCTGTGCGTCTGCACTGCTGGCTGATATAAAGGCACTAAACACATGAAGAGTTCTACTGCAAAGTGCTGCAGAGAACAGAACTCTGCCTGGATGAAATACAGAAGATACATGAGCTGTATTACCTGCTACTCTAAAGCTGCTCAAGGGAACATCACTGACTGTTATCATCCCGCGACTTAATTCATCAAGTTTATTGAAGATGAACACCACGTGATTAGTTTTAACTCTCAGTATTAGTTAATCTAAATGAGGTAGGATTATGACGGTCCTTGGCCCCGCCCACCAACCTGTCGATCAGGTGACATCAACAAACTAAACGCCTCCTTCTTATGATGCATTTTAAAGACACCATAAATGTGTGTCACAACTCTATCCAGGAAGCCAGATTTTCACAATAAAATCGGAGCTAGTGCATCTTTACAGTTACTTTGTTCTTGTTTCATTTTGGAATAAAACTCTTCATTCCTCCGGAATCCTTATCTTCCTGCGGTAACAACCTCCACGTAGATCAACCAGAACTTCAGGTGTGTGCTTTGTGCATTTGTTTTTTAAAAGTCACAGCTCTTATTTTGAAAAGCAGTGGGGCTTCACAGCGACGCTCGCTGCTGTTGGACCTGAATCTGTTCTCCAGAATAGAATATACTTTTACATTATTTCAGAAAGACATCAGGTACATTTAGATGTTTCATATTTGATACTTTTAAAATGTTTTATAGCTAAACTACAGTAACTTGTGTCACCATGTTAATGAGCTCCTTCAGCATTTTAACAGCAAGCATCGTCTGATTTCTATATACTTTTATACTCCGGGAAAATCCAAACATGATTTTGGTGAAAAGTTAACACACCAGAGAATAAAAGCCTCAGTTTGAGGTTTAATCTCGATGGATGCGTCGCCGCGCTAACGCTTTGGATTTCACGGTTAAGTGCTTCAATTTGAATTTCAAAGCGTTTTAAAATCTTCAGCCCTCGTGTTCGACGCTTCTCGTCGGTTTTTCATTTGCAGTCATCAAACGGGCGTTTTGCTGTCAAACGTTCTCCGGAGCTCGGGGTGCTGTACATGCAAACAGTGAGTAAAGAATATGTGAAATACTTCTACTGAGTCCCTTCAGACATTTTTCTGTCACGCTTCCAGTTTCACGCTGCAGACGTTGGAAACTGTCTCCTGACGCTCCTTTTACTCGTTTCTTGATGTGATGTCCTGTAAACAAACAAACAGAATCAAGAGAAGCTGTTGTTCTTGTTCTTGTTCTTGTTCTTGTTCTTGTTGTTTCTTAGCTGCCGGTTGACAGAATTAAAGAAAAACACGTGTCTGATTTTGGACTCACCTCCGTCTTCGCCTTCCTCCACTCGCCCATCGGCCCCGACTTCGTCAGGACTGAGAGACACCGAATCAAGAGAGGCGATTTAACACAAAAATAACATTTCAACACGAGAAACTTACTTCCTGAAATGAAAGATTCTGGGTTTGAGAAGATCTGATACTACATTTTCTGTCTCAAAGTTATGGATAAAATCATTTCATTTCAAAAAGTGTTTTAATTTCCCCTGAAAGTCTCTAAAGCAAGCATTCAGAATCAATTTAGAAGGATTAAAAATAATGTAACACGCAGAACAAACGGTTTTTCACGTTGTTATTTTCTCTCCGTCACAATCGGAGAATATTTCCTCTCTCGTTTGACCTCCACGGTCTCGTTTCACTCTACTTCTATTCGTGATACTTACGCATAAACGTCGCGATCACCGAGAACGCGGTCGATGAGACGCTCGCGCTCCACAAGAGACACCTGCAGGAAAACCCAAAAACTGTAGTTTAGACGCATCGATCTTCAGCGTTAAACAACATTGAAGTGAATGGAAAGAAAACACAACTTCACCTTCTCTACACGTGAGTTGGTGGAGATGTTAAAAGTTATTGTTCCCTAACGAAGGCATTAGCCAAACTTGAATGAGTAGTTTTAATTAAGTGTTTAGTAAAAATATATTTTTAGCTTTAAAGTATTTCCACAGATTGTCTTATTAAGTGAATAAATAAGAAGTTGTACCCCGAGTATAGAGCAGTGAAGATGAAGATGGTGAAGATGAAAAGAAGAAGAGCCTTCATCGTTAACCCTGAAACACAAATACAGTCATCCTCTGTGATGTCACTACTAAAACAACAAGTTCTGATTAAAGCTGCTATTTAGCATTTTGTGAAGACGATGAAATTAAAAACTGGAGCGTCACAGGACAGAGAGACGAGCGGCCGCTCACCTGCGCGCTCAGGTGAGGCCTGACAGCAGCTGTTGGTGTAGTAAGGTGAGGGAGGCGGGACTTCAGAGAGGCCGCCCAGCGACTGGGTGAACCGCTCCTTTGAGTGACAGATCTCTGAACAAATCTCCTCCTGGAAGAGCAGCGTCGGGGGCGGGGTCACTTTGTCAGGAGGGGGCGGGATCTCAGTGTGGTCTGAAAGAGAAGAAACATATATATATATAGATATAATGTATATGTTCAGTAACACTGAGGTTTGGTTCTGTTCCGGTTCTGAAAAGTGAAGCCAATGCTTCATGTGTTCAAGCTGCATTCTCTCTAGTGTCCACCAGGGGGCG